TGATATTTCACCCATATCGATTCATAATAAGGGGTATGCTTGACCATATATTGAGGATTTCTTGACAAGTCAGGAGTAGCTCCAGACCAGACTAACTTTGGAACAATCACATCCAATATTTATTATATACAACACTTTATTAGACTTGCACGTTTCTCATAAGAGTCCTTGTTAAGTTCTCATACTGCAATGTCAACGGATGATTTGATTAACTTTAGGTTAATAAAATCCTCATGGTTGGAAATTACTAATATACCGAGTGCTCTACTCGTGACAATAGTATCACTTGTGGTATTATACAGGGTGGCCCTTTGAAAACGAAACAGAGGTTCTGTAGGTCGCCAATACCGGATTATGAAAAAAATCTACTACATTTCGAGGGGAGCATCGTTCTAAAACATTTTCAGCCCTGCGGCGTTGCCGCTTCTATTGAAAAGAAGCAAAACTTTGTTATTTCGAATGGAACACCTTGTATTTCATTGCATTTTTAGATTCTCCCCGAAGAGCTGATTTCCTCAATCCATCACACTTGGGAAGCTGGAATGATTTCAGGGATATAAGGTGTTCAAAATCGAGATTTTTCAACTTTAGCATTTTTTGTGTCGAAACTATTCATGATTGGTCAAAACGTCTTCTATGTCCCTATCTCAACTTTTGTTTCACTATCTACTGACATTCAATTGGAACAGATACAGGGTGATCAGAATTCTGAATCTTGAACCACCCTGTATGTGTTTCAAATAAATGTCAGTAGATATTGAATCGAAAGTTGAGATAGGGTTATATGAGTCGCTCTGACCAATGATGAATAGTTTCGACACAAAAAAATCTTAAAGTTGAAAAATATCGATTTTGAACACCCTATAGCTCTGTAATCTTTGCCGCTAGATCCCAATTGTGATGCATTGATGAAATCAGCTCTTGTTGTTGTTGTTGTTGTTGTTTCCACCATGTGAAGACATAGTGGTAGGACTTTCACTATGGCTTGGCTTGATAGTTTGCGAGAGGTAATATTCGAATACGCACTAATAGTTAAGGGGTAACTGAAAGTACGAGACTATGATCAAAGATAACAATATTTATTAAAACACGAAACATTATGGGTATATATGACAAATATGAATGAACAACAATGAATACAAAGACCTAATAACAACTTACATTATAATAACCAATACGACAAGCTCTTGTCAAGTCAAGAGTATCCCCAGACCACCCCAGACCAGACTAACTTCGGAACCCTCACATCCAATATACATTATTTTATTAGACTTGCACGTTTCTCATGAGTTCCTTGGTCAGTTTTCCTAGTTCAATGGCAACGGATGCTTTGATTAACTTCATGTTTATAAAACCCTCATGGTTCGAAATTACTAATATACTGTATTTTCTACTCGTGACAGTATTATACAGGGTGTCCCAAAATCAATGGGACACAGAGCTACCACGTGTAGAGGAGGTCAAAATAAGTTGATTGGACCCAATTTATTCATGTGTCGAAATGTACCGTTTGTCCGTGAGAAGGGTTCAAAGTTCACATAAAAAACACATTTTTGTACGCTGTTCAGAGATAAAGTGAAACGAATTTGATGAAATTGGGCAATAGTGTATTTCAGAGGATTACTTTCCTTTTGATAATCGAAGAAACCTAAAAGAAATTGTAGAAGGGTTAAAACCACCCTCACCCCCTGACATTTTTTTCAGAACTTTTTGAAGACTAATCGATTACCTTCATTTTATTACTCTTGTTAAAATTTCGTATACCGCATAGTTTCGGGAAAAAAAATGTTCTCTCAAATAATGCTACCAGATATTCCCAGTACAAGTTTAATTAAATTGTGATATAAAACTAGTTGGCAGTGGAAACGAAGGTCGTGATTTTGACAGGTAACAAATTTATTGTCATTCAAGTTCGTTGTTTTAAATTTAGAGTTACGTAATGTTTGGATCGGATTTATCGAAACATTTTTGGTTGAGCCGATCCGATTGCCAGGTCGCCTTGATGGTTCTGGTTACCTTCACTTTCTCCCAGAAATTTTGCCATATTTATTAGAGAAGTTGCCCGTCAATGTTTGTCGAAACATGTTCTTCATGCTCGACGGTCCACCACCTCATTTTGCACGTGCAGTAAGACAATATCTGAACGAACAATTTCCTGATAGATGGATTGGCAGTGACAAGAAGCACCTATTCAATGGCCTCCGAGGTCTCCAGATTTGAATCCGTGCGACTTCTTCATCTGGGGAGCGTTAAAAACACAAGTGTATGAAGTTCGAATTGATACTTCCGAACAGCTATGGAACAGATTCCAAAATGCAGTTGACGCACTACGAGACAACGACGATTTCCTGAGGAGGGTGCATTTCAATTTTTCACGTCGAATTGATATTTGTATCAATGAAGCTGGGCGTCATATTGAACATATGGTTTCCAAGAAGGCTAATCAACGCAGTATGCTATGGCTGAGCTAACATCAATTGTCTATTCAGCTGTTGATAAAAAAAAATGTTTGGGTGTATTCGTGGATCTAGCGAAAGCCTTTGACACGGTAAGCAACTGGAATGCCTCGGTATACGAGGGATAGCACATTACTTATTCTCTAGTTACCTGAGAGACAGGATAGTCATGTAGTAAAAATTGATAATACTGACAGTCACGAAGAGACAGTCATCTATGGAGTCCCACAAGGTTAATTTATTATATATATATTTAAATGATCTGCTTCAGTTGAATTAGAAAGGAGTAATATTATCTATTGCAGATGATACTTCCATTATCTATGAGGGTAACTCTTGTGACGAAATAGAACAAACTGCTAAAGCATACATTCAAATGCTTTTTGATTGGTTCGATGAGAACAGTCAACGCAATGAAGACAAAAATTCTACCCATCACATCTTACAAACCCTTTCTGCCTAGTTATGATACAATAAATGTATATAATCACGCAATTGAACTTGTACACTCAGTGAAATACCTATAGGTATCTACATTGATTCCTTCTTAAGGTGGGATGTACAGGCTCGTAATATTGTGAACAAATTGAGAGATATGATTTATAGATTCAAACAATTAGTTGGATTCCTAACAGCACACCATCTCAAAACTATCTACTATGCATTGGTAGAATCCATTCTACAATATGGTATTATAGGGTGGGGTGGTATTAGTATTAGGAGAAATTATTTGCAACCAATCGATGTTATTCAGAAATGGACAATTGAAATCATACTCAAGAAACCTCGCAAGTATCCCTCTGACCAGTTATTCATGGATGCCAAGGTGATGGACATACGACAACTCTTCTGTTTCAGAGCCATCTGTTTCCTTCACTCCAATAGGCATATTTCGAATAATATACCACATACCTGCGGTACCAGGCAAAATATCGCATCTGCCATTTATGTCCCTGCTACTCAGAAATCGCTTGGTCAAAGAAATATCCGCTATAAAGGTTCAAAATTATTCAATAAATTACCGAATGACTTGAAACAACTTAACTCGGCTCGTCTATTCAAAGCCAAACTGAAAAATTGGATATTGTCTGATGATAGAACATACTTCTCCTATGTCATTGATCCAATCTAGAAAATATCTACTTCTGAAAAATGTTATAACTTATTTTCTTTCTCCTCGTTATTTCATTATTTATCTCTTTTGTTTCGGAATCATCTTAGATTAATTATCTTATTTTCTAAATAATAGTTTGGTAACAGTTACATAATTAGATCATATTTCTAATTTTAGTATTGATTATTTGTTCCATTTATGTCTCTACTATTGTCGAATGATTCAACTGGACACATATTCTCAATAGTAAACTTCAACAGATTGGTAATACCCGAAGACAAGTTCTTAAATGAACTTAGTCGGGTACTCTCTCCTGTTTATTTACTGCTGTATTTCTTTCCGTAACGAACTAGTTTTCACTGTTTATTGCATGAACACTACCAACTAAGTTTTATATCACAATTTCATTAAACTTGTACTTTTGTACCATAGGAGTATCTGGTAGCATTATTTAAGAGAATATTTTTTTTGCTGTATAGAAAGTTTTTACTAGAGCAATAAAATGAAGGTAATTGATTAGTCTTCAAGCTCAAAAAGTTTCAGAACCGTTTTATGACCCCTCAAAAAGTTCTGAAAAAAATGTCAGGGGGCGAGGGTGGTTTTAACCCTTCTACAATTTCTTTTAGGTTTCTTCGATTACCAAAAAGGAAAGTAATCCTCTGAAATACACTTGTAGCGAAACTGATATAGAGTAGCATACAACCTTCTAATTTCATCCTTTTCATTTCTGGATTTGGCTTATCACCACCCCATGAGTACTGCACTGGTGCTAAATATTTTGGATTACTATTTGCCGTGTGGTACCTACGCCAGTTTTAATTTAGAGCGCCGAAAAAGTCTGTTCACTTTTTGTCACGAAATTGTCGTTCTTCGTGGTCCTAGTGACTCTCGATTCATTGCGTATCAGAAAGTGTCACCTACGATTATTAATTCTTTTTATTCCCAGCGAAGTGTCTGATATTGAATAGAATTTTGTGGTTTCCAAATGCGCTGAAATACGTTTATTTGAGTAGCAGTGTGCCTGATTTGTCAGGTGAGTTGATGCTAATAACATCTTTATAACAATTAAGTACTGAACTCTGCTAAGTTCCTATTTTTCTATCATTTAATTGTAAATCAGTCCCGCGTCAAAATTTAAAGTTTTATCTGTCAGTTTGCAGATATATACAGTGTGAACCCTAACCCAAAAACCCTGAGATATAAAAGAGTTTCGCCGCACACCATTGTCAAATTTTATCAAATTCGTTTCACTCATTTCCGAACAGCGTACAAAAATGTGTTTTTTATGTGAACTTCTCACGGACAAACGGTACATTTTGGCACATAGATAAATTGGGTCCAATCAACTTATTTCGACCTCCTCTACACGTGGTAGGTAGCTCTGTGTCCCAACAATTTTGGAACACCTTGTATATGAATAAATTCATCAGGCCCACATGTCGACGATATCAACGAACGCCCCCTCGTCGGCGGACGCCTGCCTCAGCATCGTGCACAGCCTGATGTGCCACCGGCAGGGGGGCGAGAGCGAGGGCTTCGCCAAGCGGGCCATCGAGTCGCTGGTGAAGAAGCTGAAGGAGAAGCGCGACGAGCTGGACTCGCTGATCACGGCGATCACCACTAGCGGCGCGCATCCGAGCAAATGCGTCACCATTCAGCGCACGCTGGACGGCCGGCTGCAGGTGGCTGGACGGAAAGGTATGTGAGAATGAGAAAATACATGAGAAAGTAGGTTTATCTACTAAAAGAAATATTTCCTACCGTGGGAGGTAGAATGAATTGGCTTCAGCTGGCTTCCTTGGTAGAGATATACGTGAGTTAACCAAGTACCAAGTATCAGTATCTCAAATATCAAATAATAATTTCCTTTTTGAACTCCAATGATCTCATACCCTTCCTCATATTCCAAACACTCATTTGAAACTTTTAAATGCAATCACACAATAAACAAATTCAATACGGATCCCGTTCATTTTGGTCCTTCGCCAAAGCTGTAGGAAGAAACTTAAATTCCAGCTCGTTTCCTCCTCTAACCAAGGAAGGTGGAACACTAGCCACAACTGCCCAGGAGAAAGCCAATATTTTTGCGCATTTATTTGCTGGAAATTCCACTCTGGTTTCATCGCGAAAACAACCTCCAAACATAACGCCAATTGACAGTCATAGGCCCGAGATGACCTTTCGCCAACGTACTATAAGGAAGATTTTATTGGGTCTCAACACCAACAAAGCTTCCAATCCAATCCCACCGATTGTTCTCAAGAAATGTGCTCCCGAACTAACACCTGTTCTCTGCAAGATGTTCAACTACTCTTATAAACTGGGGATATTCCCGTCCAACTGAAAAATTGCAAGAGTACAACCAGTTCCTAAAAAAGGCAAAAAGACCCTACCTAGCAACTACAGACCGATCGCACTGCTATCTATTATTTCAAAGATCATGGAGGAAGCTATCAACATCGAGCTCATGAAATACCTGGAACATTAAGGTATTATCAACGATAGGCAATATGGCTTCAATCAACTGGTGACCTGCTCTCTTACGTCTCACATATATGGCAGCAATCTATTGAAAAATATGGCGAAACCATAGCCGCGGCACTTGATATCTCCAAGGCATTCGATCGAGTCTGGCACCACGGACTCCTCGCCAAGCTTCCATCTTATGGCTTGCCTCCCCAGCTATGTTATCTGCTAGCTAGTTTTCTCTCAGACAGGTCTCTCCATGTAGTGGTCGACGGACTTTCATCTGACTATCTTACCATAAATGCTGGTGTTCCGCAAGGATCAATTCTAGCACCAACACTATTTCTACTCCATATCAACGATTTGTTGGAAGCAACTTCATGTCCAGTACACAGCTTCGCGGATGATAGTACCCTCAATACCGCCTTCTCTTCCAGGGCTCCAATACCAACCAGGCAAATCAGAAACGAACGAGGAAGAAATGTTGACAACATAAATATGGACTTGCCAACAATTCTCGAATGGGGATCCAATAACTTGGTAGATTTCAATGCAAACAAAACAAAAGCATGCCTTTTCTCTAGAAAAGCCGATCTCACTGTGCCAAACATAAACATGTCAGGAGTAACCATACCTTTGAAGACCTCCATTTCGATGTGGTATTACTATCAGCAATAACCTTTCTTGGGAAGATCACGTGAGATCAATTACTAAAAGTGCATCCCAAAAACTTGGTTTTCTGTTTCGGGCCTGGAGCTATTTCACTTCCAGTCAGCTGCTTATGATCTATAAGGCACAGATTCGACCTGTCCTAGAATACTGTTCCCATATTTGGAGTGCAGCACCCAAACATACCCTGAAACTGTTGAATTCTGTTCAAAAAAAGACAATTCGTCTCGTGGGTGATGCCTCGCTCACTCATTCACCAATTCCTACCTTATTTCCCTTGGTTCTCACGATGTCCTCCGAACATTACAGGATATCCCTTTTCGTGGGAACCAGAACATAAAAAAAATATATATGACAGAAGTGTCAAATTCATTTCTGTTCAGATTTAAATACTGTCAATTGTCCATGGCATACTACACTTGTATGACACATTGATTTGGATCGAGACCCAGGAGATAGACTGCCTGAAGCAAACTTTTAAAAACGACCCTCATATTTGAGAGCGTTCATTAATAAAATCATATATATTTCTTGAGAGCAAAGGTTCATTTCCTCCCATGTGTGTTTAATGTTTAACTTCACATGCGGGAGGAAATGGATACCTTTGCTTCCTTGATATATAAATAGCTATTATCTACTCACTGAATCGAAAAAAGTTCTCAAACCCCATCAAACTTTGTTTGATTTTTTAAATGTGTGATTGTCACCTTTGGCAATTCAAGGGCACGTGAGCCCTTATAAAATTAATAACCCGACCCTTTTCATAAATAAATAAAAATTGTAATGTTTTTATAAAAAACGAAAAATTTCATTATACCTAGTAAGTTTTCAATTTATTCACTCTTACATCATCTAAACCATTGTTTTCCAGATCATGGTGCATACGTCTTTGTCTTGTGCCATTTTATTGTTTTGTTTTTTTGGGTTTTGTTCATCTATGAAATATTTCCTTTCGTGGGAGGTAGAATAAATTGGCTTCAGCTGGCTTCCTTGATAGAGATATACTGATAAGATCTGTGTTACCCAAGTATCTAATCAGTATCTCAAATATCAAATAATAATTGTCTTTTTGGACTTTAATGATCTCATACACTTCCTCATTATTAGAATAAATTATACAATACAATAGGCGATATAATATAATAAGACTATACATACAAATTTTTCACTTGCAAATAAACTATAAGAAAACCACAGGAGCTGCTCAGACAGCTTGTATGTGAGAGTTTTATCTGATATTTTTATAAAAAAAATAAATTGTGAATATTTATAGATTTATACATATAATATTTTTTTTCTAATTAGCATTGAATTTTGTTATTTAGGAGATCGTGAAAGAAATTTTGAGGGGTCATGTGAATCCATTTTTTAAATAATGGATAAAAGACACATGAATCGTTGTACTCTTGCCGATACGAGAAAATATATATAATTTCTCTCGAGGGTTACGATGCCCAAACCTACACAAGATCTAGCTAAGACACTTCGAGTACCTACTGCTAGTTGAACTCTTGATTGCTTCTTCATTAATTCACAACGACACTCAGGTTTCCCGCACGTGATCTGCGCTCAGACCTGGCGATGTCCAGACCTGCACAAGAAGTAGCTTAGACACTTCGAGTTCTGCCAGTTCAACTTTCGGTTGCCCTCATTCATTCACAACCGCATTTAGGTTTCCCTCACGTATCTACGCTCGGACCTGGCGGTGCCCTGACCTACACAAGAAGTAGCTTTGACACTTCGAGTACTGCCAGTTCAACTTTCGACTACCCTCATTCATTCACAACCGCATTTAGGTTTCCCGCACGTGATCTACGCTCGGACCTGGCGGCCTATAGCCATTTCCCCGTACAGTACAGAGCACACCGTCCGATATAGTGCTCTGAGACGCACTGGACTTTGTTTATGATTTATTTCACGCCGACACAACAAACCCCAGTGCATTCCAGAGCAAACGGTTGCATTTTTTTGACACTAGTCCTCGTTGGAATAGGAGGAATGTTAAGGATGGTTATTCATAAGCATTAGTTTTCTTTCCAAACACCTACCTCTTCTCCCTATCCTCCCTAGGTACGCACGATGTTCCACGAAGCCTTTCGTGTGCTCCAAGATATGAAAAAAATAAAGTCACATATAGTTACCTACTGTTCCAAATATGAGGATAACAGTCACCTACCTACTGTCCAATTTTGAGGACAACAGTTGTAAGTGATTTTGAAATCATACTCATTAAACTCATCCACACAGAAGAGTAAATTTTATAACAACTTTTGGATCAATATGAAATAATGTCATTTCTATCATCAACTGTATTGAAATGATTCAGCAAGCAATTTGAAATCATTGCAAACAGCACCATACTATAGAATAGAGAAATGTCAGGTTCACCTTCGCATGGTTGCGATAACGTCAAACATACAAATATAATGAATTCATCATTGAGTTTGACGTTATGATATTTTGTTTTTATCAGTGCGAGATAGTCATGGAGAAAGTATGTACAACATATATTCCAATCTCGCGAACCGAAATCCTCGTCTAAGACTTGAACTACAAACTTTTCGCGCGTTTGTAACAAACCAGATTTTTCATAAAATTGATTTGAATGATATGAATTGCTTGTTGAATGATTTCAACACAGTTGATCAAAATGGCGAAGGTTAGTGTTAGTAGTATTTTTCATATATAACGGTAGTTGAAAAGTTCAAATCTCGAATTCGAGTTCAATTGATTATTCAGGCCGCTTGCGCATATACGTACATACTAAATTGCATATCTGAATTGGTATAACAAGGAAAAAACATATATTTTATGCGAGGAGGTAGTGCATAATTTCTGCGTGGAGCTTTGTAGCATTTAGGTATATAGCAATGAGCGATTGCGATGCTGCTCTGAAACGTACTGGGGTTTGTTGTGTAGGCGTGAGATTGATCATGAACAAAGTCTAGTGCTTATCAGAGCACTATGTCGGACGGTACGCTCTGTGCTGGACAGGGGAATGGCTATACGCGACCTGGCGGTGCCCTGACCTACACAAGAAGTAGCTTTGACACTTCGAGTACTGCCAGTTCAACTTTCGACTACCCTCATTCATTCACAACCGCATTTAGGTTTCCCGCACGTGATCTACGCTCGGATCTGGCGCTGGCCCGACCTGCACAAGAACGAGCTCAAGCACGTCAAGTACTGCCAGTTCGCGTTCGACCTGAAATGCGACTCGGTGTGTGTCAACCCGTACCACTACGAGCGCGTCGTCTCGCCGGGCATCGACCTCTCGGGGCTGACGCTGCAGTCGGGCGGGCCCAGGCTGGTCAAAGACGAGTACACTGCGGGGCAGCCGGGAGGCGGCATCGACCTGGAGGGCATCGAGGGCATCTCGCAGACGGTGCAGCACCATCCGCCGCAGCAGGGCTTCGGAATGCAGGCGATGCAGCCGGCCTCGACGAGTGAGTAGGGCTGTGGGTGGGTAGGGTGACCGATGAATGGAGGGACAATGCGCGAGGAGTAGGGATAGCGATTTTTCGCAAAAAGATCGATTTGTGGAATCGATCTATGTACTAAGAACGGCTGTCGGCCATCTCTCAGCAACGAATCATGATACAACTTTGAAAAAAAAATCTCAAGAAAAGTGACTCAAAAAATAGCTGGGAATAGGTGGCGTAACGGCTGAGTAAAGAAAAAATTGAAATTTTCTCCGTATCTAAGGTGAGTTCGGAAATCACAGTGTCAGGCGAAATGGTGTGGTGTTGTTTGGTGTAGTGTGAAAGTCACGTGATTTTGGTGTCATTTGTTCATAGCACTGCACGGAAAATAAACGAACGCGCATTGGCGTCATGGTGCCCGTTAAATTATTTTGTAAATATGGTAAATACATATTCACTGTCTTGCTGAATTCACCGACTGATGGATCTTCATCAAATGATGGATTGTTCAACGAAACATATACGAGTATAATTCAGATTTATCAATACACGCAAAGTGTGTAAAAATGTTCGAGAATAGGGCATCCAGAAATATCAGTTGAAGAAAGCTGCTATCTCCATGTGGTATTTAGCGAAGGTTGAAAGTTTCAGGTGATCTTCACCTCATATGATATCTACTAACATTGTGAATAAAATTATGTTGTACCTTTTTTTCATTTGCTTCATTTTATTTTCATCCAAGTTGAATAACAATCTACAGAAAAACAATTAGGTGTTCACTGAACAAGGTAATGAATTTTTCACATTTGTATACTTATGATAACTGGGAAATAACATTAATCAATTTTGCATATTTTCAGTATATTCGCAGGAAATGATAATGGGCACTTTGATAATTATTCTTTGGTTTAAACTTCAAATAAGTCTTGTCAATAAAATTTGGGGATAAAATGTTTGGTGTTCCAATATCCACAGACAAAAACTGAGGAGTAAAAATTGTGAACACATATCGCACATATCTTTCTATTCAGAACGTTGAATAGTGCACCCTGCACTTACACCTAATCATTTAACGAACGGAACGGTGAACACTGTGTAGACACTTTCCCATTTCCGAACTCAGCTTTAGTAGTATAAAGGTGTACTGAAAATATATGCAGTTTGATCCTTTTGATAAATACAATTTTTTTTGTTTCACACTCTTTGTCCCATCTCAAGAAATAAAGTGATGGGGTAACCTCAAATTATGTTTTTTCTTAACGTCTGTGTCTCTGGTTATCTTCAATAGAATTCAACAATCTTGGACTCGTTGTAAAGGCCTCTTCCTGTTTCATCAACTGTGATTTGAATTGGTTTCATATTCATATCACCGTTGCCGTTAGAGGACGTGATCTAGAGTATCAATGGATATCATGATTAAAAAAAAAATTAATGTAATGGTATGGCTTCTATTACACGATGAAATAGAGAAATTAAATCTCACAAGACCAACGAAAACCGCAACATAATAGCTTTTCGCTGACGGAAGATATTAACGATCAAAGTTGGAATAGTGATTGGTGACAGCCGTTCTTAGTTTTTCACCCTGTACGTTGCTTAGCGGTGATTTGTGATAGCTAGCTGTCTTAGTGGTATAATTTATCTTTGTTTACGTTTTTGGTTATTGAGTATTTTTTAGCAGTTACTTATCGATTTGCTAGATTTGATTGTTATTTTTAGTTTTTTAAATCTCTACGCTCAATATATAAAACATATATTTTTTCAAATAGCGCATTTTTTAATTCCAAATTTGACAATTCCTAATGTTATATATTATCCTCCAAGAAAAAGAAGAAGTCCTTCAAGTGCTTATGTTACAACGATGAGCAATTTGCCATGATTTCAGCACAATTTCGGAGGATTTGAAACAGTTTGAAAGATTTACTTCTGCATTTTCAGCGGAAAACAACAAGCAGTTCAATTACAACTTTGACTCCTGAGCATGAGACGTAGTTGTAATTCAAAGTGTGCATCATTGGTATTCAATGAACTCAATATAAACAACTGGAAGGGATCCTCTGTGAACGACGAGTGAGGCAAAAATATTGTTCAGGCAACCCGCAGTGATTACGGATACCTATTTCTTTCGATCTTATGTTGGCTATCGCATTATTTGAAATATTTTCTTGTGTTTTGCTTTTATTTAAGAGTATACGTGATTAAATATAAATATTCATTTAGGAAAAAGGATAATGTTGCAATCAATTATTATTTGAAAATAATCATTGACTTTTTTATTGACTCAAAAGTAAAATTCCATTTTTATTCTTACAGGATTAGGAAGGCAAATGAATACAAAATTGAAATTATATATTCTCATTCAAATGTCACAGTATATTGTACAGGGTGAAGTCGCCCAAAATGTACACCTTCATTTTTTTTTTCTTTCTGGAGAAGGAGAAGCTCCAAAAGCATATCTGAAAAGACAATATTATGATGTAGCTCTTGAGTTTGAAAATTTGAACTTCTAGTTTTTACCTTCAAAATGTTTTTTTGGTACCTCATCAAGATTGTCATTCTCCTTTTTACTTTTTGTGTCAGTGTTTTCACTTTTCTTTGCAATAGAATAGGCCTTCTCAAATGAAACAGTTTGTGGGTTTCAATGGTTTCATTATCAATTAACTTTGAAACTTACATAGCAGCTGGAAGTTGTAAGCAAATCAATGTCCATATGAAAAATATTGTTCTTAGAATCCAGGTTATGAACATCCACAGACACATCCTGAAAATAAATGACTATAGTTTATTTAAGAATCTGAACAATTTTCAACTTACCGATGGAGGACAATTCTTGTTTGTCTTGCTTGTTTTGCATCCAAAGGCAACACAATATAACAAACTATTGTTTATTAATTCGAAATCACAAATCTCTTCAAAAATAATCAATTTACACTAAAAAATTCAGTCCTTTTGAAGAAACAAAACAAGCAAAATTTAGCGATATTTCACATAACATAAAACAATGAAGTTCTATCTTAACTTTTTTGCCTGTTTAGGTGAAAAAAAGATCTCAAGTACTCCAATCATTGGTTGAAAGGAAATTTATACACCAATCTGTCATTAAACAACACGAGTGTGAAAGAGACAGGTTACCGTAACACAAGCTATCTTTGTTCCTGCTGCCCCTGACACACTCTGTGCTATTCGAGAAACCGGCAGTCTCCCTTCTGCGATTTTACTAAATATACTGTACGCTAGCACATACCACGCCCACCGTTATATCTCATCTTCAAAGTACTTTACTTAGGCAAAACTCAGAGACTATTTATCCTCAACGAACTAACCTATCCCTGATTGCAATATTTTTGAGGAAGGAAAACCGAATGGAGTGTAGAAACACATTGGTTAATAATATATTTCAAAAGTTGAGTTCTTCAACAAAATTGAATGAAATGAGACTGTTTATCCTAAACGCACTAACCTATTTGACTTCAAATATTTTATGAAAAAGGAAAACCAGAATGAAGTAAAAAAACATTGGTGAAAAAAAAAAAGTTGCAAAAAAAAGTTCAAGTTCACAGCGATTCGAACCATGGACCTTCAGACTGAAAGTCGACAGCGCTAACCAGTATACCATTTGGGTGTATGAATTTACTGCGTACAAGAGATTGACAACGAGAGAGCTCCAGTCGTATTCGTGTCAAAATCATAAAAAGTGTATTCTTGCGTTGGAGCACAGTATATTTAGTGCGATGTGCTGACTCCGAGTATATCGATAATGTTGGGCGTGGTTTGTGCTAGCGTGCAGTATATTTAGTAAAATCACCTCCCTTCTAGGTGTTTATTGTGTGCATTGTTGGTAATGTGTATCTGACAGTTGACATTACTGAACTTGTACAGATACACAAGCACATTGGAGGAACTTGTTTTGTTGTTTTCAGTTATTTGAGGAAAAAAATCAGTTGAGTAAGAATCAAATTATTGTGAAAACCGCTATTTACAGTATTCATGTATCGATATCATGTCTTGTATCAGAGTATCAATATTAAATACCTATATTTTTCTGCGTTCAGTATGGAAACATCCATACTAACCTTCACTGACCTTAGACCAATAAATATATACGGTGTATCTCGAAATTAGATGGCAATATCCCACCAACAACTTCTATGCATAAAAATGAGAGACTAATTCCACAGGGTAAGTCATGGGGAACTGCCTCTGGTGCAAACTCTAGTATGTTTTCACACCTGTCGCCATATTATTTGTTCTCATTCAATTATTATTTTATGATTTATTGTTATTTTAGTTGAGCATGTTTTTGTTTGGCTGTTGTGATAGGTGATCCAGGAATGTTTAACTCGTCGAATAGGCCCGTTCTGGGCTCGACGACTGTTCCCAAAGTGGAAGGAGGATCGGAATCCAGGTCGAATTGGGTGCCTCATATGCACATGCATCGTAAGACAATAGTCCTAGTATAGTCGACCTGAAAATGATTGAGAATTGGTTGGTTGTTCGGTATTCTCGTTATACGTTGGTTCTGAATATATCGTATTTGTAACTGTTCATCGTTGATTCGGATCTGGGCTTCTAATTATCACTTCCCGTCTGTTGTAGTGTTATAACCGTTAAAAAGAAATGAACAAAGTGGCAACAAATATTGTTTATTCTGAATCAACTCCGATGACTTCTATTCAATGCTGAGCTAATACTGGGTTTATTTTTTCCAGTGCAAAAATCATACAGTAGCTCAGCAATTCCTTTTTTATTCACCTCCTTATATTTCTCATTGAAAAATAAACATAAACAAGTTTTTTTAACCATGCCTAATACTGTCGAATTTTCAGTGACAAACATTCTTTGAAATTGAAAACTTGAAACCAAACAAACTATACATTAGAAATAACTATACGAAATTCTCAATTATTTTCAGGTTCTTTTACGATTTTTTTCTGATTCTCTGAAAATCTTCCCAACCAATGAATGACGTATGAAAATCAAATTGAATGGGAATCTCTGAGATATACGGCCATCACTGGTTGAGAGGGGAATCAACCATAAGATGATGAAATCTTGGACTATGTATTATTATTTGGTCCTCAGGTCAAAACACAGTCTCTTCTACTAACCCAACACCAATTCATGTCAGCTCGTCTGAACAATTCTACAATGCACCACAGTCACAAGGAGTACCTGATAGTAGAGCACAAGAAAGTGTCACACAAAATTTGGGTGAGTACCATGATGATGATAGTATATTTTATAAACCATGTAAACCTTGTTGCTAGCTCCACAAGTCAGTTGGAGCAATCTTGTTATTTCTCTTCAAATTTCTCAAGTTCAAGCATTCAAAGTCCCTAACACTTATGCACTAGTATGCAGATCGAAGATATTTTCATCTTCATTCCTTTTCATATTGGTCTCATTGCTTACCATCTACTGATACTACTAATAAAGTCTGAGAATGTTGATCTTGTGTCTCTTGTTGTAAATTTACAGGAGTTCGTTTTGTGGATTGTGAAGTGAATTTTCGTGATATTTCTTGAGAGTAGATTGTTCAGCTAATCTTGTTCGAAAAATCATTATTTGTATTTTTGATCGCACAACAAAGAATCTTTATTATGTTCAGAAAGCATTTTACATACAGATATATCTATATTGAAAGGCTGGAGCTAGTCAATTCTACAACCCCCATTATAGGTGGGGGATTACGAATGCCAAGTGTCGGTACACTCCCCTCGTACGAGTACCTGTCGTGTTTTCATCCCTTCAGTACCGATGGTGCTTCAGAGTGATATTTATACAGTTGAATTGATGAATGGCTAGTCATAATAAGCTAGTCAAGAGTCATTTATTTTTACAATGAAGTAGAAGTGCTGCAAATGATTGTGTCAAGGATGTCATTCAATTAGATGTGAAATGTAGCAGAACAATGTATGCTTTTGTTTTTCAATGTATGACAAATTGATATCCATCATACAGGACGTGGAAAGAAATTCTGAATTGAGAAAATCCAATTACGAATCTCCGATTAGAAGTCTATAACAATAACAAGTTTCCATAGTTCAAGTTCGAACCCCTTGATTGGGTATGAAAGTATTGCGTTAATGAAGTCATATAACCTGTTTTTGAGAGATAATATTTCCATATCACTGATACGAATGATTTTTGGAAGTGTCCAGCTCATCAAGATCAGAGTTTATACAAGTAACCTCCTACCTCCTATATATTTCAATTTTCATTTCAATACTGAATATATTTTTATATCATTATACATCATATTATTTCTCCGATTTGAAAGGGAATGTTATTTCTCAATTCCAGAGGATTTTAATTTTCATGTTCTCCTTTTGGATGTCCAACAAATATAATTCAATGTTCGACGTGGCAGATAACCAGGAAAGTAGTTGATTTTTGTTGAATATTCAGAATGATATTATGTACAGGGTGAGCAAATCTCGATGACTCAGCTCGACTATAAGAGAAGGAGATATGATAGGAAAAATCTGAAGAGAGGTTCCCAAATGCAAATGACTAAAGTGCGTTTTGAGCCTAATTCGCATATTTTTCTGAATTTGTAAGCTGAAGTAATGACGTCATCGATCATTGTTCTCCCAGAAACATACCGATATTTTTGCATATTCGGAAAAAGCTAATTTTTCTGAACAAATTTTGTTGAAAAAATCTCCTTTCGTTAAAAAAATTATAAGCAAATTTGTTCAAGAAAAGTATCATCAAAAATTTGCATTCGTCACGATTCAAACAAGTAGCCTTTGGAAACAAAAAGCGAAGTCGCAATTGTCAATAATTAAACTAATGGTTGTCAAATATTATTGTGGTGTCATTTGGCTGAAAAATGTTTACGCACAATGAAAAAGTCGCCATGATATTTGTTTATGGGAAAAGTCAAATGACCTCTAGACGTGCAGTCCAGACTCAAAAATATTCGTAAGATTGGAACGTAATTTACGTCACACTTATGTGGGTTCCAGGGCATGAAGGAATCAAAGGAAATGAGGCAGCTGATCGCCTTGCAAAAAAAGGTGCAGCATCTGCACTTTTTGGTCCTGAGCCTTTTTGTGGGATAAGCAAATGTCACCTAAAGAGAGAACTCGGGAAATGGGAGGAAATTGAAAAGTCCTCCTACTGGAGAGCAACTCCAGGTCAACGACAAGCGAAAAGGTTCAAAGAGCTACTCAGCCTCAGCAAACCAGAGCTAAAGCTTATCACAGGCTCTCTCACAGGACACGGCCCTCTGAGGTACCACCTCAAAAAGATGGGTCTGGCGGAGACTGACACTTGCCGCTTTTGTAACAATGCGACCGAAACCGCGGAACACATACTTTAATCATGTGAAGTATTAGTCCTCCAAAGGCTGTACCACCTAGAACAGGCCTATCTCACCCCTGCTGAAGTGGAAAAGTCAACCGTCAGGAAAATCGTAGGCTTCATCAGAAGTCTAGGGTTAGAGGACCAAAACTAGATAGGGGTAATCACAATAGATCTTCTAGGTCGCAGTGATCGAGAGGTCTCCCAGCCTATACGACCCATATACAATCTACAATCTACGTGCAAATAACGAGGCATTTTCACCTCGAAAGGGGAAGAAAATAGCCAAAAGGGTCAAGACTGACAATACTTTTGCCACTATTTTGGAGTATTTTGAAAACCATCCAAGGAACTCGATTCGTTAAGCCTGTCGTGAGTTGATTTTGAAATATAGTTCGGTACGAAACATTATGAAAGAAAATGGATATCACGATTATAAACTTCATAACTTAGAATACTTGTCAAATCAACATCAACAACGGAGAGTTAATTATATTGCCCAAGTGATGGAAAACTTAGAGTTCAATAACAATCGGTTTCTCCAGCATGTGTTGTGGGCGGAAGAAAGCCGTTTTGTTAACAACGGTAAGCCCAATAACAGAAATGCACATTATTGGGGTACTGAAAATCCACATTTTGTCAATCCTATAGAATACCAAGGACATTTCGGAATTAACGTTTGGTGTGGTATTATCAACGGGCATTTGATTGGTCCATATTTTACGAAGGAGTTTTAAATAGTGTAAATAAATAGTGCTTCTCGAAAATGTGCCATTGCAGCTTAGAGCAAACATGTGTTTCCAGCATGACGGAGCTCCGCCACATAAAGCAAGAATTGTCCAACAATATTTGAATGAAACTTATGGAGAACATTGGATAGGTATAAATGGACCGATACAGTGGGCGCCTAAATCACCGGACTTGACCCCACTAGATTTTTTCTTGTGGGGAACTTTGAAGAATAAAGTTTACAGAACACCATCTGTTAACTTAGATCATCTGAGAGAAAAAGTCAGGAATGCTTGTGATCAACTCTAGAAAAATGTTACGCAAGGCTTCAGTAAGAGAAGTAAGGCGGAGATTGGAGAAGTGTTTAGAAGTAGGAGGTGGTCACATTGAGAATTTGTTGTAGTAATTACCTGCATACTTTGTTTCTTTCTTTGGTAATATATTATGTGTTTTCCATTTTATCCACACTTTTTAGTTTTCAAAATGTTGGTGTCGGAAAGATTGAATAAATAAATCACGTTATCAGGTAGGTATGTACGGTAGTTTTTAAATTAATTTCTCGAAAATGGTAACAGGTATTGAATCAAACCAAGTGCAATTTTTTCTCTTAAAAAATAGCATATTTTTGCCTGTCTGGTTCTGTTTTAGCCCATACTTACCTACTTTTAATAATAATAATAATAATACTTTATTCAATCACACAATATCATATAAGACATAAATACATATATCTCAAAAAACAAAAGAAACAAAAAAGATGTGACTGAATGGGTGAAGTGTCACTGTAAAACAGTGTTTTTCAACTTAACCCTGGAAATATAATTAACGTTAAATTATGGGTAAAATATTTGATAAATGATGAAATAATATAAATTTTATCAAAGGAATTTCAATAAATAAATCGATGATTATAAGAATATCGGGTATATGAACCTCCATCATGAACCAGAGACATGGCCGCGTAATTGTACATTTTTGCCTACATGTTTGATAAAAGGTGATCTTTCAGTTTCTTCTTGAAATTAATTATAGTATAATTGGCGAAGTCTAGAGGAAGGGAGTTATAAAGCGTGCAAGCCACGTAGGAGAAGCTACACTTGAAGATGGTAGTAGAGTGGTTAGGAATGACTAATAGGCGCCTGTTACGTGTCTGAAAATTATTAATATTTTCGAACCGTTTCAGTTTATCCTTCAAATAAGAAGGCTTTTTAGTGACTAAAATTGTATGGGTGAATGTTAAAAAGTGCAGTTCACGTAACAAAGGAAGTTTGAGTTTTTTGGTATCTCGATATGCCTGGCTAATCGGATCGAACTTACGAATTCCCATAGAAAACCTCATACATGAGTTTTGTATTCTTTGTAAACGCTTCTGATCTGTAATTAGAAGAGCGGGGCCATAAATGCAGTCGCAGTATGAGAGTTTAGACATACTCAGTGATTTACATAAATGTAATTTTAGCTCATTGCTAAGAATATTTCTTTGCGGGTATAAACTTCTCAGAGTATTATAAGATATTTTACTGAGATGATTGACATGTTTTGTATATCTCATATCACTGTCTAGCCATAACCCTAAATTTTTGCATTCCTCTACAACTGGCAATGCATCACCTGCTATTTGTATATTATTCAGTTGCTCGAAGACTAATCATTTGTGTTTGGGACCAAATACCAAGAGCTTTGATTTGCTGGCGTTCAGTTTCAAGTTGTGTGCGGATGAAACATTATACAAAATCGCTAGATCAGCGTTGATATGATCCATAGCAAGGTGAAGGTCTTCTATTTGAAAACTATGGTACAGCTGTGTGTCGTCTGCATACTGATGTACTTGGCAGAATTTCATAAATTCGTTAAAGCCTGAAATATAAATAGAGAACAATAGTGGACCAAGAATTGAACCCTTTTTTGACGCTTGAAAATGTGTCAAATGACACCAAAATGTGACAACCATTAGTTCAATTGTTGACAGTTGCTACTTTGCCATTTGTTTTCAAAGGCTACTTGTTTGAATCGTGACGAATGCAATTTTTTGATGATACGTTTGATATGATACAAATTTGCTTTTAATTTTCTAACGGAAGGATATAGCAAATTTTTTTCTTTCAAAAATTTGTTCAGTAAAATCAGCTATTTCCGAATATGCAAAAATATGACGTCATTACTTCGGCTTACGAATTCAGAAAAATATGTGAATTAGACACAAAACGGACTTTACACAATCCCATTGGGAAACCTATTTTCAGATTTCCCCTATCATCTCTCATAATAGAGCTGAGACATCGAGTTTTGTACATACATATTTTTATCTAATTTCAGAAGATTTTATTTTCAAATTCTTATCGTGTGTGTTCATTAGATATTGTTCGTCGTAGCATTTAGCCAGGAAAGTAGTTGTTTTCTGTTGAATATATCGAGAAATAATTAATATTTACATCAAATAGAGAATGCGAATTCTCGATGTATTTCTTTATAATGTCCATTTTCTCATGTTCATAATATATTTGAGAATATTCCTTTTCAAATGTGTGCTTGCTTTGAAGAAAGTTCTCCTCATTATTCGTAATTCCAGCGGTCAATTCTCCCGTCTCGCCGCATCTCCAGCAGAACGGCAACAACGGCACCGTGTCAGGCGCCCAGGGCACCCCCGCCCCCACCATGGGGGAGGCTTTCACGGGCGCGGGGGGCACTTGGACGGGCTCCAACACGCTCACCTACACGCAGTCGATGCAGCCGCCGGACAACAGGAACCACCATTCGCCATACTGTAAGTTGACGCTTCCTGGATTCACTGAACTAAGGATTGTTCTAAAATTGTTCTATCCGTCATTCGGTTGCCCCCTTACGAGCAACCCTCAGGGCCGCGATTCTTGATGGTGATAGAGTAGAATGTTCGCTGGGGAGCGCTCCCCGATTTGTTTCTACTCCTTCATATTGAAACAAGAAGTTCGTATTCTTGAGCAAGAGGAAGGGAGGAAAATCATAGCTCCCCGATAGACGGTGTTGCTACGTGCTGCCAAAGGTGACGACCAATCATATACGATTTTTTTCTGACATTTTGACATCCTACAGGCAAGGTGAAGGGTGAAGGAGAACGTTGAATGAATATAAACTGGGCGTCAATTGAAACGTTAATAGTGAAATTTGGCATCAAGTTTGACTTCTCGTAATTTCTAAAATATTGAACGAATTTTGTATTGCCGCCCAGATTCTGAATGTCTTCTTCATCGTCTTTCGAACCGTTTCTTACAGCTTCTTCTAAATTGATCAGGACCCGTGATACAGGGTGAAACAAAGTTTCGTGCATTTTGAAAAAAATGTCTCCGCCCCCCCATTTTGTCGGAAGACCACGATGCTCATATTTCATTCAGGCATTTCATAAATAGCAACCATACCTCGGGACGTTTTCGAGTTTTTGCCAAAAACTACTCTGGTTTCCGAAAAAAAATTTTTTTTAGCATTTTTTTTTAATGGACTAATTTCAGAGAAGTTTCATAATTGGATGCTTTTATGCATTTCAGGAAATCGTTGGAGCAGATATGTATACCAGGTTACTCAAAAACAATCAATAATTTATTACTTCGCAGTCTATGATGAAAGTTTTCTACCTTAGTGAGCAGTAAATCAACACATCTCATCAACAAATACAAACAAGGATACCTTGTTTTTATAACAGCGTATTGTTGAAACAATGTAGGTATGCATAGAGGTTATATCAATTGCCAATTTTCATGAAAACGTCAGTGTAATTCGGGTCCTAAATAATTTAAAGATGCCTCGTTCAAATCGGGTCGAAATGGAAAATATCATTAGGTAAGATCACTATAGTGATATAAACTATAATTCAGTACAGATAATTATTATTTCAGGTTACGACGATTAGGATATCCCCAAACTCATTTACCATTTTCAATAAGTCAGTCATGACAATAAAGAGACTGATTCATCGTTTTGGTGATACAGGTAATTAGTCCATTGAAAAATATGCTAAAAAATTTTTTTTTTTCGGAAACCAGAGTAGTTTTTGGCAAAAACTCGAAAACATCCCGAGGTATGGTTGCTATTTATGAAATGCCTGAATAAAATATGAGCATCGTGGTCTTCCGACAAAATGAGGGGGCGGAGAAATTTTTTTCAAAATGCACGTAACTTTGTTTCACCCTGTATCATGGATCCTGATCAATTTAGAAGAAGCTGTAAGGAACGGTTCGAAAGACGATGAAAAAGGCATTCAGAATCTGGGTGGCAATTCAAAATTCGTTCAATATTTTAGAAATTACAAGAAGTCAAACTTGATGCCAAATTTCACTATTAACGTTTCAATTGACGCCCAGTTTAATTTTTTCCAAGTTATTATTCATCATTCGAGAATTATTTTCAAATTGGTCATGAGGTGATAATCACACCTCGTCAGCTGAAGATATAGGTAGTTGATGTGACATACCTTAGTCTCTACAGTGGGAGCAGAGGCTCTTGTGGGTGCTTCCATATGAGGATTCACAATGTTAATCAGTTGCCTCGTTAAACATTTTGTTAGCCGAAACATGCATTTACAAAAATGTCTGATCAGACAACTCAGAAGGGTTTTGTTTGGAAAGTATAACCACACCAACGTCATTTTGTAGTTCAACATCCAGAATAATATATCTTCATTCATATGTTTTTTGAATCCAAAGCACAATCGAAATCCCACGAAATATGGAAATTTAATAAAGCTAACCTTTGATCACTGAGGAGAATGATGAGAGTTGTCATATTTTTATTCAATTTAATGGCAGGGAGCCAATCAGAAGCGTTCCCGGTTTGGTTCTCTTAAAAATCTTGATAAATGCATTAGTAACTCCCTAGGGAGCGCTCCTCTTTTGTTATTCAGTTCAAGAATACGCTTTTCAGTTTCGGGCACGGGACACGCTAAATCTCAAAATCATCTCCACGGCATTTGATAGGTGAACAAAGTTGTGTTGCGAATGGGGACATGTTTCGGGCTTATAATAAGCCCATCTTCAGCCAAGGTTTATAACGTCGTAGAATAGTCTAAACTTGTAACAGGAATAAATAATCTGAGACTTACGAGTCCCAAAATACGGATTCTAATTGTCAATATCCAAGGTACTGAAGTATAGGGTTTCATCTCTGATTGTTGATGGAACTTTTGTGTCCAAAGAGCAAAAAACAGAGAAGGCATCGACAAAGTGAAATAGAATGTGTAGAACTGGGTGGAGAAAACAATACAGGTGGATGCATCTCCATACTGCCACAATAAAATAGATGGTTAGTACATTCATATGGATCTAAAAGGAGTTGCTTGGCTTGCGAGAGGTAGTATTCAAATAAGCACTAATAGTTTAGGGGTAGCTGAAAGTACGAGACTATATTCAAATATACATCTTTAACATCCTTCAAGACAAAGTTGAAATCATATTTTCTCAATCAATGAAAATCCTAGTAGCCACTTCCTCATTTTGTTAAGATTATTTTAATATTCAGATAACGCCAATGTACATGTGTTAGTATGTTTTAAATTATTTTGTGTATTTATCAAATATTTTTTTTTGGATGTGTATAGATGTGTATATATATATAAATTATGTGTAAATATTTTTGTTGTGACAAGTGTATGAATTAACTATATACCGATCTCATTGTGACTATTGCAATGACATGAAAATGTAAATTAGCCAAATTGACTAAATAAAGGATTTATATATATATATAGTATATCCAATATCAATTGCAGAATATCCCGCACTATGCGGCGTCGGCGTGTTTGAAGTTTCCTTTGAAGTGACTGCAGGTGCGGCACAAGATTCTGCAATTGTTTTTGGATAAACTATAACAATATTTATTGAAGCATGAAACATTATGGGTAGCGATGACAAATATTAATAAACAACAATGAATATGAAGACCTAATAACAACTTACATTATAATGACCATTTTTTTTAATGTTCAAAGAACATCGTGCGTTCCTAGGGGTGATAGGGATAGGAGGTAGGTATTGGAATTTTTTTGAACTTCTGAAGATTATATACTTCCTCAGGCAATGAATTCCAGAGCCTAGCCGTTCAATGGATGAAGGATTTTTGATAAAGTGCTGTTCGACATCTTTCGAGGTTGACAACGAAATGATGTGCTGACTGGGCTTGTCTAGTTCGTCTGACTGGTATTGCTAGTGAAGGGATGATAGCAGAGATTTCCGAAGCGATTTCCCGTGGAAGTATCGATAGAAAAGTGAAAGGTCGCCGACCTTTCTACGGTGTTCCAATGATGTCAAAGAGTGAGTGAGTGTGGCGTCACCCACCAGGCGGATGGCTCTTCTCTGGATGGAATCTAAGAGCATCAGCGTATGTTTTGGTGCTGAACCCCATATGTGGGAACAGTATTCTAGAACAGGCCGTATCTGCGCTTTGTAGAAGCTGTTGAGGTGTAAAGTAGCTTTTCGCACGGAACAATAAGAATCCGAGTTTTTGTGAAGCAGCTTTTGCGATGGATCTGACATGATAATCCCATGAAAGAGTGTTGCTGATGGAAATACCGAGCATAGATATGGTGGGCTTGGTGGAGATGGTGGTGCCAGACATTATAATGTCGGGCACACTGAGTTCCGCCTTCCTAGAGAAAATACAGGCTTGAGTTTTGGTGGCGTTGAATTCAACTAGGTTGTTGGTTCCCCAGGCTGTGATTTCAGGAAGGTCTTCATTGACAGCATTGACCTGCCTGCGCCGTGAGTTCTCAGTTTCCTGGGGAGAAATGGGAATTACAACGACTTCTTGTCGAGTCAAGAGTAGCCCCAGACCAGACTTACTTCGGAACCCTCACATCCAATATTTATATACATCATTTTATCAGACTTGCGCTTTTCTCATGAGAGTTCCTTGGTCAGTTTTCATAGTTCAATGTCAACGGATGATTTGATAAGCTTTATGTTTATGAAACCCTCATGGTTCGAAATTACTAATATACCGTATGTTCTACTCCTGACAATAGTAAAGGTCTGACCAATCAAAAAGTGTACCACTATTGTCGTCACTCTATTTATTGTCACTACGCTGAACGAGCTGCGGCAACTTCTTCCTTACACCGCTAGAGAAGTGCACTACGGGAGCAATCGGGTCCTCCCCATTCTGAATATTGGAGGTCGCAAACCTCACTAAAGCGTCACGCAAGCGTCAACATACACTTTCTCAGAAAATTAACGCACCACTAAAAGTATCCAAAAGTGTGAGATACTTTTTTGTCAAAACTGCTTGTCCGATTTGGACGTTTTTTGTGTTGTCTCCTTCTGAACATTGGTGCAAACTGTATTCGCATAAAAACATATTTTTCATTCATACCGGGTGTAGCAATTATACCGTGTTTTTTTTCATGAAATTTGTAATACCCTGTACAATAGTTACATTGTCAAGTTAGAATTGGCATTACACTTCAGACTTATCTTTTACAACATTTCTTTTTTGGATTTACTTCATTATCCTTTATTATTCCTATTACACGAGATACACCATTTTGTAGCGTAACATGATTTTATGGGAAATCAATATCAAAATTCAACAACGAAAAAACGAAACAGAATGCAAAGTCACAAGTTCAACGAAAGGGTCAGGAGCGAGTATTTACGCCTCGGGCACGAATAACTTCTTGGCAACGACTGTCCATACTCAAAATAAGAGACCTTAAGTCATTTTGATCCACCGCCTCGGGCACGAATAACTTCTTGGCAACAACTGCCCATACTTGAAATAAGAGACCTTATGTCATTTTGATCCAGGTCTTCCCAAATTTCAATCAGTCTCTGCCGTTCGTCTCCCAAAGTATTCAAGTTGAGTTTCTCTTGCAATCTCGCCCCAAGATTGTCCCAGAGATTCTTAATGGGATTTAAGTCCGGTCTCCGTGCTGGCCATGCCATATGGTAGCAATACCGACTTCCTCTAGATAATTTCTCACAACTCGGGAGACGTCAGGCCCGAAGTTATTTTGCCCTCAACAAAAATACTCACAGTATATGTGGTTCTAAAATCTCCAATATGTACCTTTCATCTGTAAGGCTTCCATTTATGATCACGACCAGTCAAAGGAATGCCTCTGCAGACCGTAGCCTGCTCTCACGTGCTTATAATGCTAATTATATTCAATAAAATCATGTTATGCTATGTAATTGTGTTTCCAAAGTAATAAGAAAGATAATGGAGTAAATCCAAAAAAGAAATGTTGAAGAAAGATAGAGCTGAAGTGTAATTTCAATTCTTACTTGATAATGTATGAGTTAGACTCTATAGAGTATTGAAAATTTTATGAAAAAACATACCCGGTATTCATGAAGAAGAGGTTCTATGCGAATACTGTTTGCACACCAACATCCAGAAGGAGATAAGCTGTCATTCAAAACAAGAAAGTCCAAATCGGACAATTGTTTTTGACGAAATTGTATCTCAAACTTTTGGATACTTTTTGGTGGTGGATTAATTTTGTGTGTGTATGTTTTCTGGTTAATTTGATGCTCCTTTCTGGTTAATTTGATGCTTGTTCATCAAATACAGGGTAGATAGGTATCGTGATGCGATAGGTATAGTAGGTGCTCTACTTGATAATGAATTAAAATAGGATTTCGTACATCTCGACAGCCAATGCCATTGGCTCACCATGTCCACTAAACAGTACAACGCGATCATTATCATAATCAGTAGTTCAAAATAGCTCTTTTTTTCATTTTGTGTTATTAAAATAACAGAGTTGCTGAAATTGGAAGGTCGTGCAAGAAAAATCACAGAGCTCTACACGGTTATTTACGCTTTGCCATAGAAACGTTCATTTTATCTGATTCTCACTTGCTCCACACACACACACAAAAAAACTGAAAAAAATCGAATGAGATTAATCCCATACCTGTGCATTATAAACTACTCAACACTAATTTCGTCGCACACCAAATTGTCGCCCCTGTTATAATGTGAATAACTTTTTTCAGTTTAGAACAATTTGAATTTGGTTCAAACTGTTCGATAGCCCAGTCCTTCAGCTATAGTCTCGTACTTCATTGAAACATAAGGGTATTCACATAAAATCTCTACATGGTGTTTTCCGACACTATGCAAAATTTCGGAATATTCAAAAGGCTCTCAAATGGTGAAACAATTTTTTTTCTCAACTTCGACAACAGAGGCATGAAGATGATCTCATAACCTCGAGATATTTCTCGAATCAACTTCCTATCTCTCTTATTTACAGAGTGATCTCAAAAAATCAACTTTTTGGTTTTGCAGCCATAACTTTTTTCCACGTCAACCGATTTTGGAAATCTTAGGCTCATTCTGAAGATAAAACTTCAGATGAAGAGATCTGGATATCAGAATTGACTCAAGATGGCTATCAAAGATCTAGAGTTTTCTTGAAAATGACCCAAATCTGGAACGCCCTTCGAATCTCGGTTGGGAGGAGAATTGAATGAAAACCAACTTGTTCTCGGAAAAACAATTCATTCTGGATGCGTCCATATTTTCCTCGCTCCCAGTTCACAAGAATGTGCGTGAGAAAACACAATTGAAACATGTTCTTGCAAAAACATCGGACCATTTCTTCTCTGTAATGCATGGCCCGTAACCAACGTTACAAGAATCACAGTAAATGACTGACAAGTCAGGTTAGACGTCGTTTTCGAATCATAAACAGAGTTTGATAGTTTCGATGCCGCATCAAACTTCCGACCAGTTGTAACTGATTCCACAAATGAGGGAACAAGGGTTATCTTACCTCCAAATCGCGGATCTGCTAAACACGACAGTCCGATCCATTCAAAGGGCTTATCTCCGACACGAATTGTTTGGTTATTACTGTCGATTCGTTCGGCGCATTATTGCGACTGAAAACTTTACGTAATTGGCAAACTGTTTTCATGAAACTCACCATTTTTGAAATGCGTTTTTACAATAAACAAAACGTTGTTCGCTTGAATACTTTTCCATATTCTTAAATCGCATGTTATGTACGTGACAACTGTTAAAAAAATCACTTTATTAAAAGAATCAAAATCCGTTGCTCTTGTCGGTACACCATTTATAATGAGCCTCAGCTGGTCGGGTTTGTCAGTCACTCATTGTGATTCTAGTAACGTTGGTTACGGCGGGCCATGCATTACAGAGGAGAAATGATCTAATGTTTTTGCAAGAACATGTTTCAATTGTGTTTTCTCACGCACATTCTTGACTACTGAGAGCGAGGAAAATATGGACGCATCCAGAATGAATTCAAATATTCAGATCTCTTTATCTGAAGTTTTATCTTCAAAATGAGCCTAAGATTTCCAAAATCGGTTGACGTGGAAAAAAGTCATGGCTGCAAAACCAAAAAGTTGATTTTTTGAGATCACTCTGTAAATAAGAGAGATAGGAAGTTGATTCGAGAAATATCTCGAGGTAATAAGATCATCTTCATGCCTCTGTTGTCGAAGTTGAGAAAAAAATTTGTTTCACCATTTGACAGCCTTTTGAATATTCCGAAATTTTGCACAGTGTCGGAAAACACCATGTAGAGATTTTAGGTGAATACCCTTATGTTTCAATGAAGTACGAGACTATAGCTGAAAGACTGGGCTATCGAACAGTGTGAACCAAATTCAAATTGTTCAGAACTGAAAAAAGTTATTCACATTATAACAGGGCGACATTTTGGTGTGCGACGAAATTAGTGTTGAGTAGTTTATTTTCCTTTGGCAGTGTTAGTGGAATGCTTATTTCTTTCAGGGAACCACAACTCCCCTAGTCAGATAGGTTCCGAGGTGATAGCAGGTCTGCTGTCGAATCAGCCGGCCCCTGAGTACTGGTGCTCAGTGGCCTATTTCGAGCTCGATGCGCAAGTCGGGGAGACCTTCAAGGTAAGTAGAGTGTATTCAATGTTTTCAATATTCACTTTTCCATATTCGGGAGGCTCTCATCGACATCCATTTTTAATTGTGTATATTCCTATGTGAATTTCAACCTGTTGTTCAAAGTGAACTATCGGGAATCTTGTAGAGAGTGTTTTCTTGAAAATAAGATATTCACCTTGACGAACACATTCATATTCAAACTTGCCCTTTCGATCCATCAAAAGCGTGATGTTCTTCCACATTCAGATCATCGTCATCAGTACATGACTGGAACCAATAAAATAAATCTGCCCAACTACAGGTATAAAAAAACTCGAAATGGGCCCCTGTACACGGAAATAAAAATTTATAACCATTTGCCTCCCTACATGAAGGAACTTTCAATAAGAACATTTAAATAATCACTGAAGGTCTTATTACACCACCATGTATGTTGATTTAAATGCGTTTTTCGCTATACCGCTCCCCAACTAATTAAAAGAATGCTCATCCTTCAGTTTTGAGTAGTTTTGAGTATTATGATATCATGTCCAACAAGATCAATATTTTGAATTCTATTCTCTCACCTCTTACCCATTTGATTAATATATCATTTTGCAATGGAGTGTTCCCTGAGTATATTAAAAAGGGTAAAGTAATCCCTGTTTTTAAAAAAGGAGATCATCAAAATGTTAAGAATTATCGACCTATCACTGTACCTTCAGTTTTCTCGAAAATATTCGAATACTGTTATCTGCAGAGGTTGAACGTCTATCTTACTAAAAATAACATAATTTCGAAAAATCAATATGGTTTCCAGACTTCCAGATGTGCAACTGATGCAGTTCAGTCTTTCTATAGCACTCTTATTAATATGATCAGCATAGGCGAGTGTCCTGTAGGCATCTTTTGTGACCTCAGCAAGGCATTCGACTGTGTTGATCATGTTAAACTTTTGAGTAAATTACATGACATTGGGATACAAAATAAAGCACTGGATTGGTTGAAAACATACATATTTGTGAGGAAGCAATATGTAAGTATAAATAATATTTCTGGAAATTGTACAAGAAGCTATGCCTCTAATTTTGTAGATATTGATGTGGGTGTCCCCCAGGGGTCAGTTCTAGGCCCGATCTTGTTTTTACTATATGTGAATAATATTGATTCAATTTCTCCAGAAGTTTTCTTTACGCTATACGCTGATGATACTTCGCTCATTATATCCGATAAATCTGATGAATCTTTAGTGAAAAAAAGTAATAAAGTGTTACATGATCTCAACGCTTGGTTTACGGAGAACTCATTGCACCTAAATTCTGAGAAAACCCACTGCATACGCTTCCATAATAGACAGAAAAATATTGAAAATCTGGACTTGAATATGAATAATGATTTAATTACATCTCGACCATCTGTAAAATTCTTAGGTATTCATATCGATGAAAATTTAACATGGAAGACTCAGTGTGAGACAGTAGTTTCTAAATTGAATTCCTTAAGAGGAGGATACACCATGCATCAGTGCAATGAAAACATGTTTTCTCCGCCCCCACTTTTCATTGCTCAATATTGATTTTTTCGAAAAACAAAAAATATGGTGAGATGGAGAATTGAAATATCTAGGTTTCTCTGGAAGCAGAATTTTGAAAAAATTCACCGATATTCTGCAAAAAAATCATGAACATTGCATTTTTCGAGTATATTCAGAATTTTTTTTTGAAAAAACTAAGACAAAAACTCAAAATCCGCTTCCAGAGAAACATCCGTCCATCCTTTGTGAAGAGCCCAGTATTTTTTGTTTCAAAAAAAAAAATGTTTAGAGGGGGAAAAGTGGGGGCGCGCGATCCCATGTTTTCCAACATTTCGACACCGATTCCTAGCGTCCTCACCGGAGAATGCTGAAAACTGTGTTTCAATATTGGAATACAGGCTTATTTTGCGTTTTTGAGATTTTACCAGTGGGATTCAAAAAGTAGGACACATTTACGTTTGTACTTCAGCTATCTATATCATTTTTCATCATTTCTGTTTCTTCATCCTATTCCTTGAGAACTTTCATACTGTCCACAATATCCATACATTATTTTATATTATCGAATGGGGATTATAAGATAATTTTAGCATTCCAGTAAGGAAGTATAGCACGATGTCCGTGAATCCTCCTCTCCGAAATGATAAATAAAAACATCAGATGATGTCATAGGTGCGATGTGAAACGTTTGTCGGCAAAAGGGCGAGCCGCATTTCGGTTGACGATATGGAGACTTTTTTTAAGCGGCGAATTCCACATAAGTAGAGACTCAAGGGCAGAGAAGATATTTTGTATTATATAAAAAATATCGCCTATAATGGGATTCGTGAAATTTTTGGCCAATTGCGGTAGCGGTAGACTTCGCGAGTGTTTCTAGTGATTACTTCGAAGTTCAGGTTTTTGTGATTCATGGGGAGACTCAGATAGCCAAATGGTGAACAGCAGATCGGGGTAAAGACGAATTGATATATGTATATATATAATTATATACAGCATGTCTCACTTCAAACGCCCCTCCTCCTCTATATCTCAGGTATTATTGCTATCAATCGTGCGATTCTTTTCAAATTTGGACTAGTATGAATTACCATTGATATGATCAGTTTTTAGGAAAAGAAACATCATTATGGACAGTGCCGTGCGTTTTTATTGAAATTGAAATGGGTTTCATAAATCAGGATTTTTTGTAGGAACTAACTTTACAGTATGTTACTCATGTTTTCGAACCTCCATGTGCAAAAATTCAATAATTTCAAAATAATATAGAATGGGTCAAATTTCTCTCTTCATTATTAAACCCGAATAAATAATGAATTCTAATTAACCGCAAATTCTGGAACGTTCAATAGCACCAGTAGGTAGAAAATTATGGTTTACATAAAAAAAACAAGGCACAATTTTTTTGTTGAACTCATCTTTTCCGAATGAATAATTTTTCAACTCCCATTTTATAAGAAGCGAATTAATTATCTCGGATTTATTTCATGATACAGATCTTAACCAATGAAGACACGTTCTTTTCATCATGATAACAAATTTTTGGCCCATAAAAATACGTAGTACTTGGGTATAATCAAGTGGGTCTATGTTTCTATCTCACTTGCTTGAGTTGATTGACATTTAATTCCAAATAAAAATCATAATGACAACGCGAATTCGTCAAAAGTTCATGCAAATCATGTACTTATGATGTTGGAGAATGCTGAAATATAAATAGTGAGAAATTAATTGATTTTTGGAGCGATAATTTCTATAGGCCAGTTAGGCACTTTCTGGGATGAGAGTAAACCGGCAGACTCGCGTCATGGAAGCACGCGTACCAGTGTAGGTATATCTATATTTATGTAAAAACTCCACAAACGATAAGATTTGCACAAAATTCTCAAACACACGACATGTTTCGCTAATACAGTAGCTTCGTCAGGTGGTATACTGGTACGGCCGAGTCAATTCAAAATATCTATTTATGTTGATATGCGATGGCGGTTATATATGTTCTCGAGTCATGAATAGCGTATCATTCACATCATTTATAATACACAGGGTGAGTAATGAATACTTTTGATGAGATGCAATTTGGAAGTTCTTAGTCGCAAATGTCAAATTTCTCTATCAATATTTTCTTTCATATTATATAACTTCATTCAGATTTCTCCGTATTGTCTAGTTGTCACTTCCGACTTGTGGTCCTACAAAAAATAGTGTATGAAACTATCATGATATTGAACTATCAATACACTCCTATATACATGGTTTCCTCGTGATCGTTGCATAGAATACTAATTCACGTTCGCAAAAATGCTGATGCTAATACCCTCCATAGAATTCATGTGAAAATTCTTATAACGATGAAGAACAATATTATGAGGTTCGTTTTCCTGTTGAAAGATGCCTTTTAATGAAAAATCGACCTCGTTTTATTTTAATAGAACCCCAGATACAGAATACCAGTCCAAATTTGGTAAAAATCGCACGACTAATAACTAAGATATAGAAAGAGAGAATCGTTATTCCAAGTGTGGGACGCTGTATATGAAAAAAAATTCCATCTACTACGATGTGAAATTGCCATTTCAGAAATGATGCATCGTAATTTGTTGAAATTTTGCAGCTACGTTTCTCTATCGAAACTTCTCCAGATGGTTCCTTATGGAAAAAATCCAGATCCGGACATAGTAAAAATTCATGTTTTCCTGATTTCTAAAGAGTTCACTTTGTGATCACTGTTCGCGAGGATCTTTATCAGAATCAGAAAGATCTGACGACATGCCATGAGGACTGCTCTTCATTTTCAGGGCACGACACTTTGACCGGTTCAATGAAGAAATATGAAACAATAACCTTCGAATGGATTTTCAATTTCGACCTGACTGATGAAGTAAACAGTACTTCCAACTGGATTCATGTAAATAGATTTTTTGTACATTTTTTTTTGGGGTAAAAATTGACAGAAAAGAGCGAACGAGAAAAAGCACTGTACCACTAACACTGATTTATTTGATGATTTGAAATGTTAGTTTTTGATCGAAATTCTAGATAGATATTAGTAGTCGTGCCCTATTTTTTATTTCATGATGTGACGTGTGATTCTTGCACTCAAGATGTCACTTCATTTTTCAAATGCTGAACATGGAAAAAGTTCAAATGTTGGCAATGTTCAATACCATAGAAGATTTACAGGCCCAAGAATATGTATAGGGGTAAAATCTTCCTACGGCTATAACACACAATTGCTTTTGTTTTACTGTGTTCAATGAGGTACTTTGTATATCATTATATCACAATGACTCCATCGTGTTATTATTTCAAAAAAATCTCATCGCTCATGGAATGTCAAATGTGAAGCAATGACATCGCTGTCTAATCGATGAGCATTACTTGACAGGAAATCAAATGGCTACAAGACGAAGAAATCGAAAATGTCGCCGTTATCTATTATAGCCGTAGAAAAATTATGGCAGCATTCGCCAATATGGCTCATGCTGCAAACTTT